AGGACTTACGCAACTTCAATACCGCTCGTATTGAAGAAGCAATCGAGCGGAACCAAGGCTCCAAAGTCTTTGCCAGAGATCTGTCTGCCAGAAAGAGCCAACTGTCAAAGCTGAAGCCGGAATGTGGCAGCATCGTTTCCGGGACACCTGAGATTTTGAGTGAGATTGAGAGGTTCTATGGGCAGCTGTACACGTCATCGTTGGAGCCACACGCAAGTGTGAGTAACGATCCAAGAGCGAGTCTCATCCGACACTATTCCGAAGATATCCCGGACGTCAGTCTGAGCGAGATTAGAATGGCTCTCCAGCACCTTAAAAACGGTAAGGCCCCAGGCGAGGATGGAATTACAGCGGAGCTTCTGAAAGCGGGTGGAAGACCGGTACTTAAATCCTTCAGAAGCTCTTTAATTCCGTCCTCCATGGTGGCATTACACCGGAGGCGTGGAGCAGAAGTGCGGTGGTCTTGTTCTTCAAGAAAGGTGACAACGCCCTCTAGAAGAACTACAGACCGAATTCCCTTCTGAGCCGCGTCTACGTGCTGTTTTCGAGAGTCATTACGAATCGTCTCGCGCGCAGACTTGACGACTTCCAGCCTCCCGAACCAGCCGGTTTCCGAAAGGGCTTTAGCACCATAGACCACATACATACCCTTCGGGAAGTTGTACAGAAGTCCGAAGAGTACAATTTGCCACTATGTCTGGCGTATGTGGACTATGAGAAAGCCTTTGATTCCGTCGAAATTTGTGCGGTGCTGCAGTCCCTTAAGCGGTGCTAAGTTGACTGTCGGTATATCGAAGTGTTGAAGTGCTTGTACAGTAGGGCTACGATGGTTATCCGAGTACAGAACCAGAGTACGAAACCTATACAATTGCAGAGAGGTGTAAGACAGGGTGACGTCATATCCCCGAAACTCTTCACCGCTGCATTGGAAGACGTTTTCAAGCTTCTGGACTGGAAAGGATACGATATCAACATCAATGGCGAGTACATCACTCACCTTCGATTTGCCGACGATATAGTTCTTATGGCAAAATCGCTGGAGGGCCTAAGCACTATGCTCAATGACCTCAATAGTGTTTCCCAACGGATAGGTCTTAAGATGAACATGGACAAAACAAAGATCATGTTTAATGTCCATGTCACACCTATGCCGGTAGTTGTTGGGAGCACTAAGCTCGAAGTTGTTGACGAGTATGTTTACCTGGGACAAATAGTCCGACTAGGTAAGTCCAACTTCGACCGAAAGGTCAATCGACGGATTCAACTCGGCTGGGCAGCGTTCGGGAAGCTACGACACATCTTCTCGTCAGACATACCTCAAAACCTTAAAACGAAATTGTACAACCAGTGCGTGTTGCCAGTGATGACTTACGGAACTGAGACGTGGTCCTTCACTGCTGGCCGTATGAGGAAGCTCAAGGTCGCTCAGCGAGCTATGGAGAGGGCTATGCTCGGAGTTTCTCTGCGTGATAAACTTAGGAATGAGGATATCCGCAGTAGAACCAGAGTGACCGACATAGCCCAACGGATTAGTAAGCTGAAATGGCAGTGGGCCGGCCATATAGCTCGAATAACCGACAACCGATGGGGAAGAAAGGTCTCGAGTGGCAACCTCGTACCGGTAGGCGAATTGTAGGGCGTCTCCCCACGAGTTGGAGTGACGACCTGGTAAGACATGCAGGAAGTCGATGGATGCAGCTGGCTCAGGACCGTGCTTTGTGGCATTCTTTAGGGGAGGCCTATGTTCAGCAGTGGACTTGTGAAGGGCTGTAATGATAATGATGACTGTAACAGTCTTTTCCAAGAATAATGATGCAATAAAGTCAACTGTCTTACAGCTCAAAGATTACCGAATGTGGCTGTCGATACGCACAGTGATTATATTGTCTTCATCTGAATTTCAAATTTAAGATCCGCCATATCGTAGCAAAGTATTTGAACCAAGGCAACGCGGATAATCTAGATAATGTACAAAATGTATTACAACAGTTTTTATTTCCCCGTATCTTAAATGCAGAATACATCATATTCAGATGGGTGAGCTCAGTAAAACAAGTTTTCCCAATGAATCTGATTATTGTTCAGCATATTCTAGCTATATTAAATGTTTTCACAGAACCAACGATAGATTCAAATCCTGAACTCTATCTACGTTTTTTTTAATTGAAGTTAAAAACAACTGCGACAATATTTTAGAAATGAAAAGCATATTAGAGCCAATTACGATACGTGTAATATTAATTTTTTTGGTGCCTTTGCCTTAGGTGTTTTCAATGACGTCATTTAATAAGCATCAGCATGATTCATATCTAATCAAATTTACTATATGGATCATGCTGCAAATTTTCTAGGTGGTAGAACTCCTTTCTGCATTGGAGCCCGTCTGGGTAGGTAAAAGTAAAGTGAAGTTTTAGCTTATTTAGGTCACACTGCTGGGCACAGGCCTCCTTTCGTTTCTGAGAGGGTTTTAGGACAAGTCTTTGAAATTTTTTCTTATTTCTTAGACATGCAGCTTTCCTCACGATGTTTTCTTTTACCGCCGAGCACGTGGTAAATTAGCACTTAAAATGCAATTAACAATTTCATTGATGCCGACGGGGATCGAACCTGGGTTGCTCGCGTACTGTGAAGCTTACAGCGAGCGCTAATCATCTGAGCTACCACGGTAGGGTAGGTACCACGCTCATGTAGGGAGCTATAGACATTCCCACAACAAAGCCTCGGATGTTCGATGTGAAACAAAGGCATTGCAGCATGAAAAATAGACCAACGGACTACAGTATCGAGATAAAATTCTGTCGATCTTTTTATATTACTTTTTTTTCGTCTGATATATTGAGGATTGAAAAAGAGTTGTATATTTAAATTGATTCTAGCTTTATGTAACAAATATTTGATAAACAAAATCAAATAATGGTTATATGGCTCAATTCTCAATAGATAGATGGCTTTTGAATTTTGCATTTTGCAAATATCTGTTTATTATTTCAGTGACAAGAAAACCTTGTCTTCTTGTTACGATTCTGTTTAAATCAATGAATTCATGCAAGGGAAAATAACACTATCATAACAACTAAATATACGAGTTTGCTTGTAGTTGCGACGATAGAAAATTCATGACCCATTTTCGCGTAAAATAGTTTTAATAAATACGAAACCAAACAACTTAATGCTGTTGTTTCGTGAAGAAAGGGCAAATGAGCATGCAGCTCACCTTATGGAAAGTGTCGAACGCCGCCCACGAAGAACTGCAACACCAGGGGATTTCTGGTACATTTCCGGCCCTTTAAAAACGAGTACGCTCGTTTCTTGAAGGTCTCTAAGTCTCAACGTTTTAGGCAAAATGCCGGTGGTAAGCAATTCCACGTATGGTGTGTGTAGGGAACTGATGACCCCTTTTACTGGTAACGTAGATGTGACAACACATTTGCATTTTAATTCTTTATTGAGGATAGATGTAGATGTGTATGGGCTACAGTGTCCACTACAATCAGGTGGATTGTGTGCACGTTTGTTTCCCTTATTCTACAATAACCCTATTTTGTCCCATGATTATCATAAGCACACTATCACTGTCACCACTTAATCCAATACCACACATGGAGCAATGTAAGATTTTACATCAAAAATGTTCAAAGTTTATTTCAATATGTGTTTTTAATTGTATTAAGGCCTTAACAGTCGTTTAAATTCCTAAATCTTGGATATTTAAGTAAAAAAATCTCAATAACTGTTCATTTAATTCACAAAGAAAAAATACAGGGTAACAGAAGAGGATTTAGTAAATGTTTTTAATTTAACAAAATTGTATTTTAGTCAACCCCTTACTAGAAAAAAAAATCCCCAAAGAGTACCTATCTTTGTCATATTTTGCAAAATTTCTCCAAAACTGCACAAGCTTTTTAAATAGTTCTTACACTAAAAAAAAGGTCTTATAAATATTAATATTTTTAATTGAGAGTTTTATTTTTATTCCCCGTTTTATAAGAGAATATATAATTTTTCCCTGAAATTGAATATATTTACGTGAGTGCGCATGCTCCGTCGCCATGTAAGCTCTGTCACAGTCCGTTTTCGGACATCGTCGAGGGTGGACCGCACGTCGGTGTTGGAGCGACTTCGTTCAAATATATATTAGTTTTTTAAAAGTTTATACTCAATTATAAATATTTTTATGACTAGAAATACTTAATTTAGCTAATATCTGTACACTGGTAACTGTATAATTATTTTCTAAATAAATGAATTTTTAAAGTGCCCAAAGAAGAAGAAATTTTCGAGACGACGTTGATTAGTGAAATTGAAAAATGAATTTTTATATAATTTAGATGTGGAACGACGAACATGGTCTCGTTACTTAGATTTCGATAGTTTTTAATACCTATGTAATTTTATTATTGCATATTTTTATTAATTAGTTGATACTGAATTTTATAATTATGTATTACAATAAAACGCTGTTTTTATCAGTATGACTTTATAAAATATTATTGGGGAGGGAAATAAAGATACAGATACTTACATTTATGTACACTGTTATCAAATTAAATCAAACAATTTAAATAAATATAAGAATGGTGCTTACCTAAGTATAAATAACTATATAAAGACATTCTTGGGTTTGTTTTTTTTTTATGTTAGACAAACTATCATCTAAAAAATGTAAAAATTTTAAATTGGAGAGGGGTTTCTCTACGCGATAAAGTTAGAAATGAAGATATTTGCATTAGAATCAGAGTAACTGACATAGCCCAACGGAATATTACAGTGAAATGGCAATGGGCTGGCTATATAACTTGGAAAACAGATAAAAAATAGGAAGAAAGGTCCTCGAGTGGCAACCTCGTACAGGTAAAGCGCTTATTACATTATCCAATTTTTAGAAAATCTAATTAGGAACCTAAGTTGGAAGCTAGTGATCACATTACACTAAATTGAATTCTAAATCGTGACGAAGCACATTCGTAAAAGAAGTATCGACGGGGTTGCACGTTTGATCGATGGCGCCGTATTTATCAAAACAGCAGAAAATAGGACTTGCCTTAGCCGTGGTGGGAACAATGGATATTAAAAAGAAAAAGAAAAAATGCTGGGTTAAAGAATACTTGACATTGAGTAAAAAACTGTCCAATATGAATATAGTGCATATTTTGGAACCTGGCGACTTTAGAAATTTTTTAAGACTTGATTCTAACCAATTTGATTATTTGTTAAACTTGGTATCCAAACATATTGAAAAAGAAGTCACGATATTTCGAGAAAGTGTGAGTGCCAAAGAACGTTTGATGGTGACATTACGTTTTCTAACCACCGGAAATTCATATCAAGATTTAAAGTACTGCTCTCTGATATCAGAACCGCTTATATCAAAACTTATTCCAGAAATATGCTGGGCAATATACAAATGTTTGAAAAATTACATACAGGTGTGTTAATCTATAATATATTAATATATAAATAATAAAATCGTGAAGGGGTCGGTCTCTGTACAATGAAAATATTGGAAAAAAATGCATTCAGGGTAACTCGAGACCGGTAACAGAATGCATTGAAATTTGAAACTATTTTTAGAATTTTTATCTGTTTGTATGTTTATCTGTCTGTCTGTTTGAACATGATAAACTCGTATACTACGGAACCGATTTATATTAAAATTGGTATGAAAAATGTATAAGCTCCAATTTAACATATAGGTCGAAAACCTCCTCGACCTCGGTCGAGACCTCTGATGCAGTAAAAAAGTTAGTATGTAAGAGAGGTCAACCTAAACCGGACATTAAAATCTTGACCATGCGAACTTAGTCGCGGGCAGCAGCTAGTAGTAATAATAAAACAACATTTTAGTTATTTTAGTACTATTTATATAAGAAGTAAAAATGCTTTTAAATAATTAATTTAACGATTTAAGGTTGTCTGGGCTTAAAAATTAAACCCCTCTACTATGATTGGTGTTGAATTTTCTTCGTTTTCGGATGAAGCGAAAGTAGTATTTGGGAATTGTGACTGTGTATATAGTGGTGATGAGTCAAGGAGTAATTGCATATGATTTTGTTGTAGTAGTGTATTATCAGGTAAATCTTGTTGAAGGCGTGGAGACGGCGTAGGCAGCGGTGCTTGCTGGTGGTGTAGCGGAGACGGCGTGGGCAGCGGGGATTGCAGGTGGTGTTGCGGAGACGGCGTGTGCAGCGGGGATTGCAGGTGGTGTTGCGGAGACGGCGTGGGCAGCGGGCATTGCAGGTGGTGTTGCGGAGACGGCGTGGGCAGCGGGGTTTGCAGGTGGTGTTGCGGAGACGGCGTGGGCAGCGTGGATTGCAGGTGGTGTTGCGGAGACGGCGTGGGTAGCGGGGATTGCAGGTGGTGGTATCGAGACTGTGTGGGAAAAGGTGATTCGTTGGAATTTGAGTTGGACGAAATAGTACGTAGAGGTGTTCGTTGATAAGCAAAGGATCCTAAAATTATATGAGAATCTTCGGTTAGTCTATCAAGGGTTGCATAATAAATAACGTCTGATATTAATTTTCGACTAATGATAAACTGCCTTTTATTTAAGTCACGAAGTTGGTGTGCAATAGATTTCCCTAATACATCAAACGAATCATCTTCCATAGAAATCAACTGATTTGCTTTATCCAGTATCTTTTCTTGTTTTCAAATTAATGTACTCGTATTTTTTCTCTTTTTTGATTTTGTTCCGGATATATTTGGACTTTCATTTTCTTCGCCTGATGACAATGGAGATTCCTGAAAGATAATAAACGGTGATTATTGTTGCAGGTACCACAATCAGAAGAAGAGTGTAGTATAGCAGCTCAATTTGAATCTAAGTGGAATTTCAACAATTGTGTTGGGGCATGTGATGGAAAACACATTGCCATTCAAAAACCACCTGGAAGTGGTTCATTATACTACAATTATAAAGGATTTTTCAGTGTAAGTATTTTTTGCTATCGTTAATGCCAACTACGAATTTATTTACGTACACACTGGAACTAATGGATCTGTTGGCGATGGATCTATTTGGAAATCAACAGGTTTTTACAAAAAACTTGAAAATAATGAGTTGAGTTTACCACCTCCTTCTATACTTCCAGGCACAGATATTTCAGTGCCGTATGTCTTTTTAGGTGACAGTGCTTTTGCTTTAAAAAATAATTTCATGAAACCATTTCCATTTAAAAATATTACCCACGACCAACGGATATTTAATTATCGCTTGTCTCGAGCCCGCAGGGTGGTTGAAAATGCTTTTGGGATTTTGTCCTCAAGGTTTAGAGTATTTCTATCGCCTATAGGTGTACAAGTTAATAATGTGGATCCTATTGTCTTGGCTTGCTGCGCGTTGCATAATTTTTTAAGAAAACAGACATTATCATATATAGCACCACGAGACATCGATACGGAAAATACTAAAAATTTCACATTTCATAAAGGGGATTGGCGAAATAATACCGAAGGGCTCTCTTCATTGCAACGAACTAGTGAAAATCAACGAAACAGTGACGGAAACGAAGTACGTAATACGTTCATGAATTATTTCAGTTCTGTAGGGTGTGTTTCCTTTTATGTAACAAATTGTCATGTTTAATAGTTATTTAAAAATATCACATATTTGATCATATAAAATATATATTCTTTTAATAAAATAAATATAATTAACCTGCTATAACTTGTTCTTTTTATTTCTTAATTTTATAGTGTACTTACTTGTGAATCTACAGGTTGACGACATGGCTCCGCTGGAGAAGCTAAAAAATTTAATGCATCGAAGTACCACAGAGTTGGTACATATATATTATCTGTTCCTGCTCCAGTTTGTCTTGATGCTTTGACCTAAAAATAAATTAAATTTCTATGAATGTTTAATTTTGATAATCTCGCCTGCAAAACTTTACAGGCAATGACACATGGTTAGAGTATTGCTCTTAAAAAATGTTGTGTTATTAACATTGGTTATAAAGGTTTTAAAGAAATATAATCGTATTAATCAATTATTTGAATAAAATTAAAGCGAAATTGATAGCTTGAAGCGTATTTTATATGTTTAAAGTATGTTTGTAACATAAGTGTATAATAAGATTTCTTAAGTTGTTGTTTATAACATACCTAAGTACCTAGTTGCCTATAAGATTTTGTACGTGGTAGAGCCATGCTGCAGCTATATTAGTAGTATAGTTGTAGCACGAATGTGTCGGCTCGACCGGGGAACGACCACGCTCTCACAGAATACCAGCGTAAAACAGCAGCTTAACGCTACTGTGTTTCGTTTAGTGAGTTTAGAGAACCGGAGACCCTTTTTACTGGTTACGAGGCATTCCATCTTAGTCCTCACGGGTGACAACGCATTGGCATTTAGATCCTTAATCGAATGTATATGTAGATGTCTATGGGCCACAGCAACCACTTACCATCAGGTGGACTGTGTGCTCGTTTGTCACCCTTATCTTATAAAAAAAAATTACGCGCGAAATACATAACCATTCCTTGACAGTCAAGTAGGTAAATATAAACAGTGTTTACCTTTATTAATTCTCTGAAATATGTGGTTTTGAGGCTGTCTATTTTTTTCTTTAATATTTTAATAGTTCCGTTTCTGTCATAGTTTTTGTAAATATTTAATAACACCTTGAAGCCCTCTTCACGCATTACTTTGTTTAAATAGTTCTTATCATTTTTATTATATAAATAGGGCATTTCCCTATACAGGTCTATAATTTGTATTAACACTTCTTTTTCTGTGGACGTGCTGCCATACGAACCATTGCTCAATTCTGTCGCTTCAGTCGCCATCGCAAACAAATGTCGCACACGCAGTCAAGACGTCCACTTAGGTCGAAGCTATATATAATGTACTCTGTGGGTCGAAGCGCGGGCGCCGACTGCCGACTGGTCGTTCTAAATCGTAACGTTGCGATTACACTGTCCTAAATTGTAGACAATTTAGAAAGTAGAGCGGTCGGGACCTCCAACTTTTAACTAAATCGGATCCTAACTGTTCTAACTATGATTACACTTTCCAATTTCCTAATTAGATTTCCTAAAAATTGGATAATGTAATAAGCGCTTAAGCGAATTAGTACTCAACCTTTATTCCTCTTCACGTATTCTCATACGCTTTTCTTCACACACACACACGCACACGCGCACGCGCACGCGCACGCGCACGCGCACGCGCACGCGCACGCGCACGCGCACGCGCACGCGCACGCGCACGCGCACGCACACGCACACGCACGCACGCACGCACGCACGCGCGCACGGGCGCACGCGCGCACGCGCACACGCGCGCACGCGCGCACGCGCACGCGCACGCGCGCGCACGCGCACACGCGCACACGCGCACACGCGCACACGCGCACACGCGCACACGCGCACACGCGCACACGCACACACGCACACACGCACACACGCACACACGCACACACGCACACACGCACACACGCGCACACACACACACACACACACACACACACACACACACACACACACACACACACACACACACACACACACACACACACACACACACACACACACACACACACACACACACACACACACACACACACACACACACACATATATATATGATGAGAATATGTATTTAAGTATAAAGGTTGCCTCACACGGGACAGTAATAATATAATATTATATCTTCCATTATCTACGCATGAAAACTTTTAAAATCTCTGTATCCCGAGGTATGTTCATATTAAGATGCTGAATAGAGCCACATTGATATGCATGAGGACCGTTTTGTAATTTCACGTCATTATCGAAAAAAAAATTGTACGTATTTCAGGTGGCGGTTTGAAAAACACGATTCCACAAAAGATAACTCAATAGAAAATAATTGCAAAGTTGCTTCTAAAAATACTTAAATTTTCAACGTCAATTTTTTTTTATGTGGTAGAGCCATGCTGTAGCTATATTAGTAGTTGGGTCGGCTTGACCGGGGAAGGGCCACGGAAAAACATGTAAAATAGCAGCATCATTTTCTGTACAGAAACCGGCAAAGTGTTGCTTAAGGCACTATAAACAAAGCAGCTGATAAAATGTTACACTCATAACTTAACAAAAACTGTTTCCGCAAATGGTCTTATAGATAATAATAACTATTCCGCCGTGTTAGGTGCAGGAGCTATTATTAGAAGGAGAAGAGGTAAAATTTTGTTTTAGAAATGCGCAATCAATATTGTTTTGTCTGCAATTGAGCATAAAATAAAAAATAACTTCATCCAAAGAGCATAACTGGCATTATACTCAGGCCCATCAATTGGTATGGAAAAAAATAATTTTACCAGGTTTCAATAAATCAATCAAAATTCATAAAAACATAAATATTAAAATCAAAAAATGTATATATGTATGCCTATACATACATATAATGGTTTATGGCCGCTTAGTAACTGACGGTGACTCACTATAACATCCTACAGTCACGCCGAAACTAAGAGGAGAGAATCACTGTAGAAAAGGTAATAATTTATTGCGGAAATTTTGTGATAAAATTAAAAAAATTATAAACTTATCCAGGTTAATCTAACTTAGTCTAACTTATCCTTATGCGTTACAAAAAAAAAAACAAATAATAAAATAGTGAGATGGCGTCAGTTTTTAAGAAGATATAACAAAAATAAACAAAAAAATAAATTTCAAAAAAGTTCAGTATTTAATTGATTATATACCGCTGACACTTAATCACGCTTTTCGAAACCACGCCAGTTGTAAACAATACTTGTGTGAAAAGACAAAATCTTCTTTTCAAATTTCCGCCGAGTTGTAAGTAGAAGGCCAAATACGTCATGTGTCAATTTTAATTAAATATATTTTATACGAAGTGATCTTGACTACGTATTATCAATTAACCATCGATAAAAATTAAAACAGGAATTTTACAATTGTGTTTACAAAAAACATTATTAGTCGAACCTTGCAGCTTGTTCATTATTTTTACTATAAATACCTATAAATGTATGTATTATTAATAAATCATTCCTATAATATTGTGGATTATTTTTTATTTTGCCCTATCTGCAATGTTCTACGCTCTATAGAAAATGTGGCGTATGACAGACTGACAATCTTTCGAACGTTTTATCTAGGTACAAAGATGTTTTACGTTTTCGTCGCCTCCACATGATATTTTTGTCAGCATAAGGTACCCTTCTATATTTGAAACGAATATAAATATTGCTACAAAGTAAAGTAATAGGCTATACAAGTATACTGGGCACAAGACTCTTTTTTTATTTCTGAGAGGGTTTTAGGACAAGGAAATGCCCGCCGTGCTTCCCCAATGAGCGTTGACGAAAATTGCAATTACAAATTTCATTCTTGCTGTCGGGGATCAAACCCGGTAAAATTTACAGCGAACGCTTTGACCCAGATCTACTAGTACGACACAAATAAATACGATTTAACATATAAAAAAAAAACTCTTACGTACATGAAACTTGAACACTTGATAGCTCGTGACGCCTACCGGACAAAGCTACAGCACAATGTAATTGAAGATTCGTAACCGCGACATAATTCTCAGTGATGCGCAAGCATAACACTTGCTCTTGAAATGCTCTTAATTAGTTCGACTAATTATATCGAGACTGAAGATGAATCACAAGAGCCATTCCTAACAGAAAATTATCAGTATGCACGGCGGCTAAATTTAAAAAAAAAATGTGTAATTTATAAGATCTTGAATTAAAATATTGTTTTTCATTATTATTTGCTCTTTGCAGAAATAAGTCTTTAAAAATATATTTAATAGTGACAATCATGTTGTGACGGCTTTTTATTATTAATAAGTATTAATTAAATTCAATATAAAGACATTTAAAAATATATTAGAAATTATATTCTAAACAATTAAAATGCATTAATAAGCATAAAGTTCAAATATATTCATTTAGAATATAGTATATTAAACTAACATAATATTACCTTAAAAATTCTCTAAATTTCAAAAAAAAAACTGTGCTTAAAACATTCAAATTGTATTAAATAATACAAGTACAAGTCTATTATACTGAACTAATAAAGGAAAATAACATTTGTAATATAATTGAAAAAATGGGTGAAAATTTTTCTTAAGTTAATGAGGGTGTTCATGTAATGATCGCTTATATGAAGGGCGTTGCCGAAGACACACATCCATGGGTGTACATATATATGGGGTGGTCGACTGATCGACTGCTACTAGCAATGTTGTACTATGTATAGTCCTATATTAGGAACTTATGATAGGTCTCTATGATGTATAAGCATGATGATAGCAGAGTTATGACTTGAAGTTCCATATGTATAAGACATATACTAATAAGATGTATGAAATAAAGCAAATATGTGGAAGGTCTTAAATATATAAAATCATTACATTGAAAGAAATGGGACTTGAAAAGAATTATTACAGTGGCATGAATATTGCTTCACAGCGACCGAGACCGAGGTAAACTTGGACTCGCTAACCGATGTGTCTCAGACATATCATCTACGTGCCGGTGGTAAGCGGGTTTATTGTAGCAATACGACTTACCCGTGAACATCGCTTACCCCTACCGCTTGTGGACGGCGTTTTAGCGCATAGCAATATGATACGTCGGCTATCTTACGGATTAGGGTGAGTGTGTTTGCTAGTATTTTCAGTGCAGCAAGCATACTCAACTCCATTTCTTAGTGCAATAGCGTTAGGATACGTGGAGTTATGGCTACTGACGCCTTAGTAGCGTGCTACAATGATACGTTGGTGGTATTTTTAGTTAACAACATTATCAATTTGGTTACCAATGTCAAAGGGCTGCAGACTGTCTGATCTCCATGATGCTTTATATAACAACACAATAATATATCTCATTAAAGTTCCCACCTTTCAATGATTGAAGGCAACTTGTTGGTGGGTGAGACGAACATGATCGAAAAATGCATATACTCAACGTCAGTGACACACACCCTTTCTGATGGAGAATTATTACTATTATCTTATAACTGCCTATTGGCTTTATCTGCCATTACATTGGTTGGTGGAGCATATGTATTGACCTCATACGGGTGTTAGCTGGAGGAAGAATCTAAGGAGGCTCACAAAGCTGCGGCCGAAAACCGCGCAACTTGGGACCCCATTCCCTCGAGGTAAGCGGTATACTCATGACACGCTCTGCGGTCAATTGGCCGTGCTGATCATGCAATTGGTTGTGATGCCTTATACTTATATCACGTCTGCAGGAACGGCGTTCTGGCAGGTGGTGGCGCTCACGGAGGGTTTTTTATGGCCGGAGTGCCTATCGTAGCCTAATCCGTGTGACGTACATTCACTGTGGCTGGATTTGATCGTATTCTATATGGAGTTTACACGCATTGACATGCGCGACTTCTGTCAATGTTTGTACTACCAATGGGCCAAGCCCTCTTTTACTGGTTCGCCACTTTTTCTGCTGTGGACTACGGTCAAGTTCCCAAATATACGTCCCCTTCGGGGTTAGCGCATTAATTGGTTGGCGCTCACCGCATACGGCGTACGTGGAGCCGTGTGCCCTACTAAGGCCATAAATTTATTAAACAGCCTATATTTAAACCTTTAGAAAGATCAATCTATGGTTAATATATGGTCACGTAAATTTGATATATTTGATATATCTTATAGATATAGATTCTAAAAAAAGATAAAGAAAAAAGAGAGGGGTTGGGAGGAATGTTAC